GGGGGGACAGCCGGAAAATGCACATGAACGTGACTACAAAACCCCACGAGGGAGCCCGGCTACAGAAACTTCCACAAATCTCGCCTTCCTCCTCCTCCTTCTCCTCCACCACCTCCTCCTCCTCCTCCGTCCGCATTTTCTGGTGCCGCCGAGGATTCGCTGAGTCGCTGCTTTTCCCCGCCGGGTCGGGGCAGCCCGGGCCGGCCGCCAGCCCGGGGACACCCCCGCCACCGCCACCGCCACCGCCACCGCCGCGGCCCCGGCCAGCCGCAACGACACCCAGCCCAACACTTCACCAAAATACAGGGGGAAAAAAAATCTAAAAAATTTAAAAAAATTAAATTTCAGCTGGGAAAAGGGCGGTTTTGCCCCGCCAAATCTGCCTCACCCCCTGCCACCCCCGTCCCCAAGGTCATGGTGGGTAAACAATAATAGTAATTAAAACAAAATAATAGGCAGCAGTCAAGAGCTGAGAGTACACACACCTGACCCTAACTATAACAGACTTCTCAGAGTAGAATTTGATCCCTCTCTGACACTTTCTACCTCAAGTGTTAGAGCGAGTGGCCATGAATAGTACAGGCATGCCATCTTGTAACACTATCTGCCTGTCAGAAGAGCCAAGGCTGGGTAGAGCAGGATCTATATAAGGCTTGTAACTAGGGGAAGCCCAACAAACAGCTACAAACACCTAAGTTATTTTACTCAGCCTCCACCCTTCTGCTTTTTCCCCCCTTCTTCTCACTCTCTCTTTTTTTTTTTTTTTTTTTTTTTTTTTTTTTTTTTTTTTCTTTTCATCTTGGCTTTCTGTTGCAGAATGCAAATGTAGCCTGCCGGCGGTGAATGGGCTGAATTGTGATTAAGAAGAAGAAGAGCTCCTTTCTTTGTTCTCCCCTCAGGGGATGTTTACTGGGAGAGACACAGCGGATCAGATATGAAAGGCATTCAGGTCAGCATTGATGTGAGCGAAAGTGAAATCATACCTAAGGCATTCAAAAGACCGCCGTGTCAGGGGTTCAGCTAACGGTGCATCTACTGTGTCTTCCCTGTTAGGCACAAAAAAAAAAGGGGGAAAAAAAAGGGAAAAAAAATCTCTCCACAAACAGGCATTTAAAAAAAAAAAAATTACCACAAAAAATTATATAGAGAAGGAAAATAAAAAAGTTTTCCCTCGCTTTACCTCCAGACCAGAAACTACAGGACTTAGTGCTCTTTGCCCTTATGATCACGGATGGGGCAGGTCGACTTGCATTAATTGTAGCTGCTGGGATCAGCATCCCTTTTAGGGGGAAATGAATCAAACCTGAAGAGTGAGCGGTTTTTTTTAAGCACACCTCTACATCCCACATCCCTCTGCACACACACGCACGCATAGGTGCAGGCGCATGTACACATGCACCTCTCCATGAGTCCCAGCGAGCTGCGTGCCTCATTTATTCTGCTCCTAACCAAGAGCAAGCGTTTCTTGCCTCCCTCAGAAGCCACTCCGGGTGATAAAGGGCAGGGTGGCATATCAAAATAGCAGAGCACACCTTCAAAAGTGAGCTTTCATTGACTTGGAAACTCCTCGGAACACTTCGCTGCAAGCTCGCAGCGCAAGAGGATGGTGATCGGAGGCGTAAGGAGTTGGGGCACAGCTCTGTAAGTTAAACTGCTGCAAGGAAAAGTCTAGGCATTGTCGTTTTATTCACCAAGAAAACCCTACTTGATGAAGAAATATTTCTGTCTTACTATTTTTCCAAGTCTATACTTCTCCCAGCCTAGTTATTCTCTCAACAGACTTTCCCAGTGGTTAGCTGACGCTGTTGGCATAAACAGAGATATGTAAATATGGAGGGGAAATATAGCAAATTACAGTTAAGCATACAAAGAGTTAGGAGGTGGCTGCATTTACAGGGGCTGAAATGAAAATGAAAATGACAGATCATTTTTAAAAAGCCCCAAAAAATTAAGGATCAGGACTGGATGTCGTGTGCACTAACCAGCTCCACTATTCTGAATTTGTTCCCACCTTCAGAACCTTAGTTAAAATACATTGTTTGTCTAATACTCACATCTGCTTTAATGGTGACGTTTAATTCTGAAATATTTTCAACTAGTGTTTTTCTGCATCACAGATTTCTCTCCTTTTTCTCTATACTCTAAAAAGACAACTAAAGAGCAATCAAAAAGGTGTCTGACTTGGCCATTCAGACAATTGCACCCTTGTGGGAATGCTGGAATGAATGGTACAGTGGACACCCCAGCACTATTGACGTTATAAACATGTAAATGAAACACATTAGGGCAGACAATCAATTGTCTGTGAGCACTGCAAACCTGCACTCCCTTTCTATGTGACAGGCACAAAATAGTGTCTACCTTGGGAAGCCATGGTCTTGCAGAAAAAAAGGACAAAGAGTTCTCTTTCACAGAGGAGAAAATGCACCTTAAAAGCACTGGGATAATGCAGATGCCAAAAACTGTTGTGAGGCGAAGAATTTCCTATTTCTTGGAATGAATGTGGGGCTGCTGTAAAAGAATCAACACCCTTCTTTCCACTCTAAAGGGAGACACATATTTTTTTTCTTGGGGAATATTACCAGCCTGTCCTGAAAGCTTACATCTCAGTCTTCCATATATTTCCCCTACCATGGGCAGTTGGCTATGTATAATTATCGATAATTAACTTGTAATGGTTTCCTTATCACTTTTTCTTCGCTTTTCAAATACGCCTTTTCCAAGCCATCAAATGCATTTTCTTGCATCAATTAGAAATTCCCCCAAAACTTTCCTTGCGAAGCATGTGCAATAAGCAAAACCAGTAATTACCGAATGGTCACAAATGGCAAACAGTAAATCAGGCACTAATCTCCAAATTCTCTGGGTTTCTCGAAACTCGGAAGAAAATAAATAGATCCGACTTGACACAGAAAACAACCTCCCCTACTCCATGTCACAGCTCAGCCTGGACATGAATCTGCACCGAGAAAATGTGGCTGGGTAATCATTACGCCCTGGCCACTCGCATTTATGGCATTAATTTTTAATACCTATCTCCAGGTGCTTTTCTGGAGGTGGTAGCAGTACATTTGTCTCGCTACCCAGTGAGCCAAGTCCCGGAGTAATCTCCTCGCAACGGATTCCCGGCCCTGGGGAGCTGCCCGGCCACAGGAGCGCTCCGGGTGCCCGCTCTGCCCGCTGCCACCTGGGCTGCACAGGGAACAGCTGCCTCCTCACACCCCAGCCTCAGTCTAGCTGCCTCCAAACTTCTCCAGGCAGGGAAGACAAGACTCACTTCCCACTCACTAAAGGCAGCAGGCAGGCTTGCCTATTTTTTCCTTTTTTTTTTTTTTTTTTTTTCCTTCCCCTCTTTTTCAAGTGAGGAAGGAAGGAGGTTTTTCCCCCTTCCCCAGCATCTCTGGAAGGAGGGTGGGTGGGTATCTTTTTGGGAAAGGCTCTGAGCAAGTCTAATCGTCTCTGCTTGTTTGGTCTGTGGTCTTGGATCAGACGCCCTGAAAGCATTGAACTTTCTCCCTTTTCTTTACAACTGGAAGCGAGGTGGCAAAGGAATCAAAGAGAGCTGTTTACTGAAACTTTGGGGTAAATTAGATACAACTTTCCCCCCTCCCCTCCGCTTCGCGGGGATTTTAATTTCACTTTGGATTTTCGAGGAGGGGAGCGGAAAGGAGGGGGGAAAAAAGAAACCTCAGCCAACAAACGCCAAACCACAACAGCACGGAGAGAAGGCGGCTCATCAGGCATGGCAGGGCAGGGCTGCCGGCCGGACAGCGCTGCTCCCGGGCCCCGCTCCGCACCGCTCCGCGCCGCTCCGCACCGGCGCTGCGGCCGCGGGCGCAGCCCCCGCCTCCGCGGGGCGCCCGTCCGGAAAGGGGGCTCACTGCCCTCTCCTCCTCCTCCTCCTCTTCTTCCTCCTCCTCCTCCTCCTCCTCTTCTGTCCTCTCCTTCCCATCCTCGCCGCTGCCCCCCCTCCCCGGGGGGCTCATCCCTCATTGATTTCCACATCGCCTCTCTCAACCCACCCCCCCCCCCCGCCACTTCTCTCCCGAGTGAAAGTGCCGCGAAGTGAGTCAGGCGCTGGGAATCATCTGACTGAACTTCCCGGAGCTCCGCCGCATTCCTGGGCTGCCGCTCCCGCACCTCCCGCCCCCCCAACCCCCGCACCCCCCTCCCAGCACACCTCTCCTCCACTCCAGCAGCTCTCATCAACCCCGTTATCTTGGAAAATCCCGAGCCTGCTTCCTTTCTACCCTATTTAGCTCCGCTGTAATTTTATCCAGCCCCGGTATCTCATCCCGAGCCTTGCCCATCCCCGCACACACGCAGATACACGCACACAGGCGTGGAGCCCACTGAGACATTAGTTGGATTATTCTGTTTTGTCCCCGTCTGTAATGTGTCTGGGATTCACTAACACTCCTCTCGCTTCCTTCATGACCATCTATTTTTATTTTCTTTTTCGTAGCTTTTAAATTTTATTTTGGTTCTGCTGCGTTTCTAAGGAATTTCTGTCCGAGTTCGATAAGCATCACCGTTTCTGGTGTTATCAGCAAAGACACAAGCTCAGAAGTAACATCTTTTCCACGATTCCAGGAAAGAAGAAAAATCCACTCAGTCCAGATAAATCCTAGGCAATTCCCAACGGGAATGGCATTGGATACGTGCTTGTCGAGAAAGAGAAAATGAAAAAAAAAAAAAAAAAACAAAAAAACCAACCAACAAACAAAACCCACCCTCGCTCTACCTGCTCCTCAGAACCAGGGCATTTCTTACTCAGAAATGAATGAAAGGAACAAATTAGGGAGCAGAAAGAGGAAAGAGGGGACAGACAGAAAGTAGGGAATTATTTCCTACACCCCCACACCCCCCCCCCCCCCCCCCCCCCCCCCCCCCCCCCACACCCTGTGTCTTGGCCAGAACAAGACACTGAAGGGAGAACTCAGCCCTTCGCACAAGCAGCGCACACACACTTGAAGTTTGCAGGATCTTTAAGTGGTTACCTTAAAAATCGCAATTAAACTTTCGTCTCCCAAGTGTGGTGGCTTTTCCAAGTTAGTGCAGCTCCCTGAAAACACCTTTTTGCATGGGAACAACCAGAATCTGCCACCCCGCTCCATACGTGCTCCCAAAGACTTGGCTGCACTACCAGGATACGGTCCTGGTGTCCTGGGCAAACAGAGGCATCCAGGATTTTTTTTTTTTTTGGGGGGGGGGGAGGGGGGGGTGTAAGGGTGGTGGTGGTGGGTTTTTTTTTAGTACTCAAATCATGCTGAGAAAATATTAAACACGTAGATGCATCCCTCATCAGAGAGCATGTGATGGGTTTAACACGCTAAACTAATAGTCTTGCCTGGAAAAGCAAGGAGGCTGAGGAAGAATAAAACCCCCTCAAACACTCAGAATATTCTTTACTGCAAAAGAGCACTTCTGGATGCGTTGCTTTAAATCTCATTCTCTTTTTCTCTCAAAAATGACTGTTTAACATAAGAAAAAAGGCTACTTGACACAAAGCTTTTGTTATCCAGTTGATCAGCAACGTGCTTTAGATACTTGTAAGGGGAAAAAAGCCCCACAACAGACATTGATTTTAGAAAATCAATAACCAACATTTAATAAAAAGAACAGAGGAAACACAAGAGAGGAGAGGGAAACATTACGTGTAATTTTAATGTCTACTAAATTACCCAGAGATGAGGGGAAGGGGAGGTCTCCTCTGTGAGGACCACCTTAAATAATGACAGACACAAGAGTAAAGGGTGGTGGTGGAGGGGGAGAGACTTTAAAAAAAGATAACAAGAAACGGATCCTTGGGAAGCTGCTCGGAATATATTATTTTAGTTGGGGCTTTTTTTTGTTTTTTTTTTTTTTTTTGTAATACTAAGCCAAGCAAATAGATCAAAGACAACACAAAGGGAAAAGCCAGTGTAACATAACGAACAGTTTCTGACTAAAATTCCTCTATCACTCCCCCATATGGCTCGACGCCTCCACCACAACAAGAAAAAGACACACACACGCACACACACACACTCACACTCACAACCTAGAGAGAAGGAAGGGGAGGGGGGGCCAGGATCATTTGTTTCTAATCAACATTCTCTTGTCTTTGTGTTTTTTGTTGTTGTTGTTGTTGTTGTTGTGTGCCTCCCCCTCCTCCTTCAGCCCCCCTCCACCTCCACCTCTCCACTTAAATGAAGTAGCTGAGCTATAAGCGCATGGGTTCAGGTTCACACAAATATCTTCCTTCCTCCGGCTCCTCGAGAGGAAAGTTGTTGGAAGTGGGGCCGGGATGGCCATGGAGGGGCTGCGGGCGGGGAGGGGGAAGCTGGCGGCGGGGAAGCGGCTATCAGCCGGGAGAGAAAGGAAGAAACTAAGGGAGGGACGGGGAGAGACGGAGAAAGAGAGACCCACCACACCAGTGAAAGCTGCCAAATGTGAAATCAGCCCAGAACACCGCGTCCCACTGCGCCCCGGCCCTGCGCGGCCGGCGGGGACCGGGGGAGAGGGCAGCGACGGACAATCGGGCACCGAGCTCATTAGTATTATTAATTATCAGGGAGGAGGAAGTTTCATTTTCGAGTCCCTAACAATAAGGAAAAAAAAAAAAAAAAAAAGAAATAAAGAAAGAAAGAGAGAGAGAGTCGCTAACTCGGTGCCAGCCCGCCTCGGGGTTCTCACGCTGCCGGGTTTTTTTCCCAGGGCCGCCCGCCCCGCTCGTTCCGCGCCGCTCCGCGCCTCCCACCGCCCCGCTCCGCTCCGCTCCGCTCCGCGCCCCGGCCCGACCCGCGCAGCCCCGGCCGCTCCGCGGGACGCCGCGCAGGGAGGCGGGGGGCGGCCAGCCCCGGGCTGCCGGGCGCCGTGCCCCCCTCCCCGTCCCGCTCCCCGTCCTGCCGCCGCCTTTCCCCCCACGGCCGCGGCGGAACCGGCCGGGAAAAGTTTTCCCGGGGGGCCGTCTTACCGTTTTTCCTCCGGGGGTTGGCTTGTTTTCGCCTCTTACACCTGGGGCCATCCGCCATGATCTGCTGCTTCATTGATAAGAGTGGATCAGATGGCAGTTCGCATGGGCTCGACTCCCTGATTCAGCAGCAGCGGCAGCGGCAGCGGCAGCAGCAGCACGCAGGCTCTATGTAACGACCAAACACAGCGACAATGTGGGCATCGGGATGTCCCATTTAAACGCAGGGCGCCAACGGGGACCCCAGTTTGCACCCGAAAAAGAACCCATCCACGCACACGGCGAGGCTGGCCGTGCCGGGGGAGGTGGGACGCGGTCGGAGCGGGCTCCCCCTCTCTCCCCAGCCGGGCAGATTTCTTCTTTATTTATTTATATATTTATTTATTTATTTATTTCTGCTCCCTCTCTCTCTCTCTCTCTCTCTCTCTGTGTGTCTCTGCGTGTGTGTGTGTGTGAGCGCGTGTCCCTGTGTCTCCCTCCCTGCGTGTGTGTGTGTTGCACCAGCAAAGCAGATCAGAGAGAGAGAGAGAGAGAGAGACAAGAATTACATCTCAAATGAGTCATAACTCATGACCGTATGAGGGAATGCACAGCTTTTACAGTAGGCTGTTTGACTCAATGCTAGGCGGACCATTTCCTCCTAAAAGTACTTTAATTTGACACTAGAACTTCTTTTCACGCGAAATCCTACCCTTCTCCTGCCTTCATTTTTTCCCCCCCAAAGTCCTCTCCAGCAAAGTGATAAGAGGAGAGGGAAACATGGCTCTCCCCTGTCCTTTTGGGGTAAAGCTCAGCACGGATACCTCCCCCTCCCCCTAACAACGAGGAGTGTAATTATAAACCTCTGTCACCTTTTTAGTCAGTTTGACAATATTCAGGGTTTCCCCTGCCCCTTAGTTAAACAAAGCTTCAGAGTGTCAATTTTTTTTTCCTTCCCAGAAAAGAAACAGAAATCAAAACTACCGCTGTCAGAGTTTTCAGCTTTTCAGTTGGGTTTTGGGTTTTTTTTGTTTTTAAGGAAAAAAAAATAAAAATAAAAGCAACTTGTAAACTTTTAGACCTACTGTGTGTGCCTGTGTGCCCGGGCTGGGCAGGAGGCTCTATCTGTCAAAGGGAGAGAGGGGCAGGAGCGTTGGGTTTGCTGCAAGAACGCTCCTGAAACTCAGTCCATCTCGAAGAAGATGCTGTAGCTTTAAAGATGCTTTGACTTGAGGATTAGTTTAAACAGGGGGCTATAAAAGATGTAACAGATGCAAACTGTAAAACAAGGGCAATTAACCCTTGCTCTCCTGAGCAGGATGCCCCCTCGCCTGCGCATCTATTGTCTTCTTCTGCACTGGGAGTTTTACATAAAACCTAAAAAATTATTACCTGCCTCAACAATTTCAATATATATATATATACGTATGTAAAGCAGAGTGAGATTTTTTTTTTCCTCCCCTTTTCCTCTTTCCTCTCCCTTGTGTCTTTTTACTTTGCTGGAGCTTCACACCAGGACTGAGCAGTGAAGTGTGCTGCTGTTGGGTCTTTTTATTCTGCCTGAACTCTCTCCTCAGGCGTTTACTGTTATAAAACCTGCTTGGCTATAAATAAAAAATAATAAATCTCCAAGCAGGTAAGAGGATGGGGAGATTGAGAGAGTGTGCGTAGGGTCAGCGTGTTTACTCACACTCTCCTGCCTGGGATTCCGCCTGGACAGAGGGAATGGGTGGCTCTGTGGATGTGGATGAATGTGGCTGAGCGAAGAAGAGGCTGAGAAATGTGCTAGAAACTTTAGTATTTGCCAGTTATTCCCGAGGCTGGGGTGGGCAATGGTGGCATCACCGCGGCAGATCTGCCAGGAGAGGAGAACAGCGGGGAGGGAGGACAGGCACCGAGGCGAGCCCGGACCCTCAGCCTGCCTCGGCAATTGGCGTTTTCATGCAAAACGACCAATGGTGAATTGTTTTAAATGCATTTCACTCCCTTCCCTACTCTCCAGCCTCCCGTAAAAAGTTGTCAATAATTTTAAACCTGCAAATTTCGAGAACACTTTTCTTCCCAGAGTACCGGCAAGCTTTTAAAAAATATGTATTAATTTTAATTTTTTTTTTCCTTTTGGTAAACGACTTTTAAGTTCCAGTCTGTACTTTCACTTCTTGCTTTAGGCTCCCAGAAGCTAAGGTGTTACTTCACCCAGCTTCACAAAATAAAATATAGAAATGAAACCAACTATGCAGACAAAACAGCAAAACTTTCTGTTTGGGGAAACACATCCTTTGCCGGGGAGCCCTGCCCGGGGCTGGGGCTCCAGCGGTGCCCGGCCGGGCTGGCTCTGCATGCTCAGGGCATGCAAAGCATTAACAGGTACCTGCAAACTTTCAGAGCTCAGATGTAAAACCTGAAATAAAAAGAGCAGGAGGTGGGTGGGGGGATGTTTCGGGGTTTTTTTTTTTTTTTTTTTTTCTTTTTTCAGGAGGACGAAGTCCTTTCCTAACACTAAAACTTTTGCTGCTGCGTTTTAAAAGGCACCTCCCGTACCTGGCTGACAGGTAAGGGGAGCAGGGGTGGTGGTGACACAGCCCCGAGCACCCCGAAACTGCTCATCCCTTCCTGGAGCGGTGCTGGAGTGACTTCAGGTTTCAGTTCAAAAGACTGAAAAAATTAAAAAAAAAAAAATCGCTCCAAGTATAAACAATCCAGAAAAATTAAAATACTCTCGAAATGAAATAACCCCGCTGATGCGTGAGATGGTGTGAGGGAAAAAAAGAGAAGAGGGAAAAAAAAAAAAAAGAGAAAATGGAATTAAATTCCAAACCTACCTGCGAAGTCTTGTTTGTAGTTTTGGCCAGAAATGGTGAGAAGAAAAAGCATGAAGAAGCCGCGAAGTGGAGGAGAAAAGGTGAAGGGAGATGCAGCTCCTGGAGAAATTGTAAAAAGCCTTGCAAAGAGTTGTCGGAAGGACCGTTATTCCTGCTGGGCAGGTTAGGACTGATCTCTTTCTGCCACTCCAGGAAACACAAACCTGGGGACGGACTGACGTGTTACGCCTCTTCTAATGACATTTTTTTCTTTTTCTTTTCTGTACGAGCGAGAGGAGAGACCCTGCAACACACGCCACCTATCTTTGTGGGGAGGGATAATTGGAGAGCACCAAACGTGAGCATCATGTGGAAACGTGATCGCCAAGTTTCTCTCTGGGAAAGGATCTGGGATAGATTATACCTTGAAGTCTCCGCGAACGCTTTAGCGGCAGAAATGCAATTCCACCTCCTCCCGCCCGCCCCCCGCCCC